CAATTACAATAAGGGTCTAGTGCACTTTCCATTATGATATCCCCATGAACAAAATGAATCATTTTTAGGTGTAACATAAAGAATACAATGTCACATAATACTGTGGAAAATATTTGAGCGTTTGGACCCACATGAGCTGAGGTGGAGGTCATTTAGTTCAGCAAGGGTGTATTGACTTGCCATTGAATGGGCTCCATTGACTTAACATGTGGATATCATCAATTCCAATAGAGGCCATTGGTTTCTATTGATTTTCACAAAAATACCTAAAATACACTATGACCTGAATCGATTGCAAATTAAATTATTTCACAGTATGACACAAATGATATATCACATCAGATGTGCAAATATAAAGTTTGCAATCGATTCAGGTCATACTTCAAATTAAAAGATTATACATTTTTTCCATAATTTCTTTCCTACAAAATGGCTATAGAAAAATGCTTCAAAAGCAACTTTTACACTAATGAAATCCCATACAACTTTGTAAATCCAAAGATTATACTTTTATGTTTCATTAATTAATAACATATTTGGATAATATGTTGGGATGTGTAGGATGCAAATGGATTTTGACAGACACAAAAAGACTTCTTGGTTTGGCATCTCTACCCCTGTACACTTTATGATTGAATATTGGCCCTAATAAGTGGCCCATTCATCAATACAGTGCTGAATATAGGTCAACAAGATACTAGTGTACATATACAGGGTGTCCAATAAATAAGGTGAAAGATATTGTAACTTTCTTAATATTGCACCAATCCTGATGAAATTTTCAGAGTTTGTAGCCCAAACCTTTTTACCTTTATTCTGTAAATTTAAAGCGTCTTCTATTTGATTGGCCAGAGTTGTGGTTGCTATAGAAACCAAAACAACAAAAAGGCGGGGCAAGTTTGTTTACGTCACAACTTTCCAAAACATATTTATTCTTTCTGATACCTTTATTCATACTCCCAAGTCTATTACTACCACAAATACAACTACAGATACAATATAAAAAACAGTCCATAAGTCCCATTGTTATGAAAATAAGCTATTCAGCATAATGTCCATCTCTAGCTATACACTTATTATGCCTATTCACCCTCTCTCTAAACACACTTATGAACCCATTCTCGCCCATTTCCTGAAGTCTTGCTAAGACATGTGATCTGAGTTCATCAGTGCTTCCAAATTTATTTCCTCATAAGTCACGCTTGAGTTCTGCATATAAGTAAAAGTCATTGGGTGCAAGGTCTGGGGAATATGGAGGATGTGTAAGTAGGGATAGCCCCAGTGCCCTAATAGTTTCACTAGTGAGCATAGCTGTGTGTGAACTCAGATCAAATGTCTTAGTAAGACTTCAGGAAATGGGCAAGAATGGGTTTGAAAGTGTGTTTAGAGAGTGGGTGAATAGGCATAAGAAGTGTATAGCTAGAGATGGACATTATGTTAAATAGCTTATTTCATAGCAATGGGACTTTAGGGCTGTTTTCATATTGTATTTGTTGTAGTAATAGACCTGGGAGTATGAATAAAGCTATCAGAAAAAATAAATATGTTTTGGAAAGTTGTGACGTAAACAAACTTGCCCCACTTTTTTGTTGTTTCGGTTGCTATAGCAACCACAACTCTGACCAATCAAATAGAAGATGCTTTAAATTCACAGAATAAAGGTAAAAAGGTTTGGGCTACAAACTCTGAAAATTTCATCAAGATTGGTGCAATATTAAGAAAGTTACAATATCTTTCACCTTATTTATTGGACACCCTGTAAATGTAATAATAAAAGCAGTATATTTATTTTGAAAAATCAGATGAATTTATTTTTTTCATGGGGAGATCATAATGGAGGGTGGAGGGTGCACTAGATCCTTTATGTCTTATAAATAAGTACTGCCTTTCCATCCATAATTGATGTTGATGAAGATTGTGTTTCCAGTTTGATTTATGAACAACATTCATGGTTTTATTTATTATGTTCATTATAATGTACAATGTGATTGATAATCAATTCACACACAGCTAGGTCTGAATATTAAACTCCAGCCAAATAGAGCCAGCACAATATTTCAACCTTTGTAACCCTTGCAAAAAGATTTTCTTGCAATAAAAATGTGAAAATAGCTTAGGGTACTTGTAAGCCAATCTGATTTTAAGGTAGATATGTCTCGATATTTTTCACTAATTTTCATGATTATAAATACCGATAATCAATGAAAGGGACAATATTTTCACATTTGTAATTGTATGTGTATGCATGGTCCATGTGTATGTTACCATAATTCTTTATATCCACTTAAAATGTCAAAAATATTGCCCAATCTATAATTATCAGATAATTCATTCATCACCAAAATTAGTAAAAATTATCAACATGCAGAACTACCTTAAAGAGTTTAATCTCTTACTCAGTCACAATCATGTCAACCAAAACTGTACTCGTGTTACATAATATAGGATTATACAGCTTACCATACGTGTGCAATCTATATAGCATCCACACTGACATCTTTACAGAATCATATATAATTTTTGAATATAAACTAACTCAACCCATTAAGGCGAGTACTAAAGAATTTGCTTACCTGCCATCTAAAAATCTGCTTGGAACTACCATTGGATTACCATGCCAAGAGAACCAAGAGAATATTCTAGGGATTATGGAATGCATTCAGCTTACATAATTTGAGAAATTATTGGCATACGTAAAACCTATTTAAAACAGCATTTATCGTATTCAAAAGCGCTGAGCATCATTGATTCCCAGCCCTCTGAAGTTTGAAAAATAAAAATACCTGGGTGTTAATCCATGGATTATCTTTGAAAATGAGAAATATATTTTTGGATTACATGGTGTAATCTTAAAGTAAACAAAATGTTTTAAAGTGTATTGATGTTTTTTGGATGAAAAACATAAGCGAAATTCATGAAAAAAATCCCCCGATTCATTCTACAAACAACTCGCCCCTCTTTTAATGGTTTTTTCATCGTATGAAAGTTTAGAAATTATTAGTTTTTTGGCATTCTGGGTAAATGTTAAGGCGGCAATTTCCGATTTTCCGTATTAGAAATTTGTCTGTCGAGGCTTATATTCAGGTTTACAACAAAACCATTTCATGGATTCATCTGAAATTTTCAGGGATGTTACTACGCATGAAAGTTTAGAACTTATTAGTTTTTAGGCATTCTTGGTAAATGATAAGGCGGCCATTTTGAATTTTCCGTTCTAAAATTCTGTCTGACAGGCTTTTCTATACGTTTCCAACCGAACTTTTTCAGGGATTCATTTGGAATTTTAGGGCTGTTTCCAGGTATGAAAGTCTACAATTTAGCTTTGGGAGATTCTGGGTAAATGTTAAGGTGGCCATTTTGGAATTTCCGGCCCGGAAACTGTGTGTGATACTATTTACTCTGTGTCTTGTTTCCCTTCCAATCCATTGTTACTTCCAATTCAAATATTTCATATTCCTAAATCGAGATAAGATGCAAATGACTTACAATTCACACGATCTTGTTGGTGAATGATCAATATCGTGTGAGTTCCAGTCAAAAAACGTTCGTTGTTTATCTCTACTTTTTCATGACTATTTTTAAATCTACGATATCTCGGGATGCTTTGAAGCTCTCCATATTTTAATTTTTTAGACGAAGTAAAAAATGAAAAAAAAACGTTCGTTCGATCATCACTCGCATTTGTATATGATGATATACAGGGTGAGCCAGAAACAAAGTACATTTTCATGAAAGAAGATTCTAATTCTAAGAAAATGCACAATATACAGGGTGTCAAAAAAACAGCACTCCCCCCCCCTTTACAGCAAAATATATTTAATGTTAAACAGTGTTTCATATCCCATTTTAAAGACAATTCAATTCTGGAGTTACTTGAGAAATTTCAGCTTTGTATGATATAATTTTACAGATTTACAGCTGATTATAAGTAGCTGGTATGGCCACCACTTGCTGCTCGAAAAGCAGCTAATCTGGATGAATATATATGATTCCAATGAAAATTCAAAGATAGGTTCAGCATTGCGTAATCCTTTAAGCACTTTCCTCATATTCTTCAGAAATAAATTCTTACTGTATCCATTTTCAAGAGGACCCCTATCCATCAATTCTCCTACCCCGTCTTTCACAATTGAACCTATATGTTCAGCATAGGTTGATACCTGGGCTATTCCCTACAATAAGTTTTATTAAATGAAATTTGATGAGTAACTCCAGAATTAAATTATCTTTCAAATGAGATATGACACGCCATGTAACATTAAAGGGTTTTTTCTGTAGAGGGTGCCGTTGTTTTTTTGACACCCTGTATAATGTATTTGAACAAAACTAGTTGTTTTCGCAATATATAATGTACAATAGAGGTAGAGGAAGCAGGGGAAGAAACAAATGGTTTTAATAAGACAAGCTTATCCACACATCATATACTGTTGTAAAGCAACTACAAATATCCTTAAGTTGACACAATTTGAATTGATCTACCCTTCAAATTAAATGAACTTACATTTATAGCAACCATACCCAGCGTCTGATCATGTAGATTCTAGGGGATATTATGGTATGATGGACATATCAAAAAAATGTTTTTAGTAAAAATGCCAATGAAATGAATTAGAAAAACATTTACAAGCAAACTATTTAAGAAATTTAAAAAAAAATTGAAATATACATGAGAATGGGCCTTAGGGCTTATATTCTTAGGTATTTTATAATACAAAATTACTTTAAAAGAAAATTTATATTATCATGCATCCATTTCAAGAAAAAAGTTCAGCATTATTTCAAAAACAGATGAAATGATTTTTACTTTTAAACTAATGAGGTGGTGTTACTATTAAAACAACACATTGCTTCAATAAATTCTTGATAAAATGGAGATTTCTATAAATCACGAGTTGAGGTGTAATACTTTTTTCTGGCCCACCCTATACATGAAACCTACTCATGTTGAAACTTATGTACTCCTATTAGTTTGTTTATTGGTTCAATTTTTGCCTTTTCAGGTTCAAAGAAGTAAAATCATTTGGAAGAGAATATTCCTTTTCAACTAAATCTTCCAGACTAATGATTAAACTTGAAAACACACCACAAACATCAACCACCAAAGAGATGCTAAAATCAATGCTTGGTGAGAAGTATGACTTTGATTTTGCTGAATATATCGATCCTAACATTAAGCTGAGTGAGTTTGGTTGGTCAACTGGTTTTGTCAGTGATTTCTCCGAAGTTAAGGGCACGCTAGGCTCGTTCATTCATTTAAAAAATCGTGGTAACTTTGGTTCGCCCGATTCTCCAGTATCATCTCATTATGCCCTTACATGCCGCCATGTCGTGCCAAATGTTAACATTGATGGAGAAGTACTCATAAAGCCAAAAGAGGGTCCAGTATACGTTTTAGGTCACCTCAAATACGCCATTGATTTGCCTGATAGTGATACATGTGATACGAACCCTGGTAAATACGATATCGCAATGATCAGAGTATCAGACGAGATAGTAAATGCCCTGTTTAAAGATAACTGTGTTTGCGAATTAAGGTGTTTCTGCAAATCGGAGACATCACTTGGGAAATACGTCAAAAAAGTTGGATACGCAACGGACGTGACTTATGGTGTCATAACAGGTATTGGCGGATCAATTCAAGTTAATCACCAATCAGGACAACGATGGGCACATAACGTCATGAAGTTCGTTGGCATAGATGAAAATGGTCAACCTTCGGATTTAAATGGAAAACGGTTCCTTGACAATGGTGACAGTGGAGCTGTGGCCGGGATTTTAGGCAACAACAATGAAGAAAAATCAGATGTTGTAGCAATGCTATTTGCAATTGCTTCTGGTCAGGAGTATATTGACGTTGATCAACAGCAGAAACCTGTACATATGTCCTATGGGTTCTGTCTGGAATGCGCACTAGAGGAAATACGCTTAAAAAACGAACTTCCATTAAGAGATATTCAAGTAATGTGTCAAGGTGAACTATGCCGAGAAATTAAAATGGACACTTCATAATGGTGCTGTATAGTATACAAGGTTTGATTCAGATATTAGGGAGTTTAAGCTTGAACGAAACGAACGTGAACGAAAAAAATTTAAGCGATGCATTTGTATGGGCAATTGGTCATGTGGGGTCAGTTAGCTGTTCAATTGCACTTGCTATATATAAAGCAACATTTTCCTGAAATAAGTATCATTAATACATATATTTTTGATATCTAACGAAGTGGTGTTGAAAAGTGGCCCCAGTTGAAAATAGCAGGCCTCGAAAATTTTGCTCATTTACATTGAGCTCTATGTTAATTTATCAATCTTCAAAAGACCCCCTGCAGAACAGTTTTTGAATAATAATGCCCATTCTCCTATTATTTTACAATAACATGATTATCTACAAAATAAGAAGGGTTAAATTTTTTCTTTTACCTAGTTCCAAAGATATTGACGTTTGAATTTTGGAAATTCCCCATTGGCTGCCATTATAAACGGCTATCAATATGGCTTTGCTAAAGTGTCCTTTTCTCAAAAAGTCCACTGTGAATTTTTTTAATATTGCAGATTTCTATAGTTGATATATTGATTTTAAAAAAATCAAACAGGTACATTTCTAAAAATTTGTTATTTTTGATATATTTAGCCGTTAAAAACTATAAAAACCTATATTGAGCCCCATGTTAATTTATCAATCTTCGAAAGACCCCCCGCAGAACAGTTTTAGGGTAATAATGCTCATTCTCCTAGTATGTTACAATAACATGATTATCTTCAAAATAAGAGGGGTTAATTTTTTTCTTTTACCTTATTCCAAAGATATTGACGTTTGAATTTTGGAAATTCCCCATTGGCTGCCATTATAAACGGCTATCAATATGGCTTTGCTAAAGTGTCCTTTTCTCAAAAAGTCCACTGAGAAATTTTCTAATATTGCAGATTTCTATAGTTGATATATTGATTTTAAAAAAATCAAACGGGCACATTTCTAAAATTTTTTATTTTTGATATATTTAGCCGTTAAAAACTGTAAGAACCTATATTGAGCCCCATGTTAATTTATCAATCTTCAAAAGACTCCCTGCAGAACACTTTTAGAGTAAAAATGCTCATTCTCCTAGTATATTACAATAACATGACTATCTTCAAAATAAGAAGGGTTGAGTTTTTTTCTTTTATCTAATTCCAAAGATATTGAGGTTTTAATTTTTGGAAATTCCCCATTGGCTGCCATTATAAACGACTATCAATATGGCTTTGCTAAAGTGTCCTTTTCTCAAAAAGTCCAATGTGAAATTTTCTAATATTGCAGATTTCTATAGTTAATATATCGATTTTAAAATAATCAAACAGGTACATTTCTTATTTTTGATATATTTAGCCATTAAAAACTATATTGCGCCCATTGATAATTTATCTATTTTCAAAAGATCCCCTGCAGGGCAGTTCAAAAGTGATAAGTCCATATTCCTAGGATGTTACAATAACACAACTCTCTTCAATATAAAAAGGATTACATTTTTCTTTTGCCTAGTTCCAAAGATATAGACGTTTGAATTTTGGAAAAAACATCAATTTGGCTGCCATTATAAACGCCTATCAATGTGGCTTTACTAAAGTGTCATTTTCTCAAAAAAGTCCACTATGGAATTTTCTAATATTATAGATTTCTATAATTAATATGTTGATTTAAAAAAATCAAACAGGCACATTTCAGAATTTATTTTATTTTTAATATATTTAGCCATTAAAAAATAAAAAATATATATATTGTGCCCCGTGTTAGTTTATCAATCTTCAACTAAATGGCTAAATATTTTGAAAAGAAGAACTTTTCAGAAAGGTACCTGTTCGATTTTTTTTGAAAAACAACATATTAACCATACAAATCTACAATATTAGGAAATTCCATAAGGGACTTTTTGAAAATAGGACACTTGAGAAAAGCCATATTGATAGCGGTTTATAATGGCAGCCAAGGGGTATTTCCAAAATTCAAAGGCAAATATCTTTGGAACTAGGTAAAAGAAAAAACTCTAACCCGTCTTATTTTGAAGATAATCATGTTATTGTAACAGAATGAGAGAATGGGTATTATTACTCTAAAACTGTTCTGCGTGGGGTCTTTTGAAGATTGATATATTAACATGGGGCTCAATATAGGTTTTTACAGTTTTTAACGGCTATTGTATATCAAAAGTAAGAAATTTTTAGAAATGTACCTGTTTGATTTTTTTTAAATCAGTATATCAACTATAGAAATCTGCAATATTAGAAAATTTCACAGTGAACCTTTTGAGAAAAGGACACTTTAGCAATGCCATACTGATAGCCGTTTTATAATGGCAGCCAATGGGGAATTTCCAAAATTCAGACATCAATATCTTTGGAATTAGGTAAAATAAAAAAATTAACCCCTCTTATTTTGAAGATAATCATGTTATTGTAACATGCTATGAGAATGAGCATTATTACTCTAAAACTGTTCTGCAGGGGGTCTTTTGAAGATTGATAAATTAACATAGGGCTCAATATAGGTTTTTATAGTTTTTAATGACTAAATATATCAAAAATAAGAAATTTTTAGAAATGTACCTGTTTGATTTTTTTAAAATCAATATATAAACTATAGAAATCTGCGATATTAGAAAATTTCACAGTGGACTTTTTGAGAAAAGGACACTTTAGCAAAGCCACATTGATAGCCGTTTATAATGGCAGCCAATGGGGAATTTCCAAAATTCAAACGCCAATATCTTTGGAAATAGGAAAAAGAAAAAAATTAACCCTTCTTATTTTGAAGATCATCAAGATATTGTAACATCCTGGGAATATGGGCTTTATTTCTATAGAACTGTACTGCAGGGGGTCTTTTGAAGATTGATAAATTAACATGGGGCTCAATGTAAATTTTTCGAGGACTGCTATTTTCAACCGGGGCCAATTTTCAACACCACTTTGTTAGATATCAAAAATATAAGCATTAATGATATTAGGTCAAAAAATTGTGCTTTATATATATATAGCAAGTGCAATTCAAGGGTTTTATTGTCATAACTGACTGCACTATACGTATAAACTCCCTATTCGAGTTGCTGATATCTGCATACATTAAAAAATGTATTGGAGCATGAGTCAAATAATTTTGTTACATATTACATCTCAAACGATCTTTGAATCAAATCACATGATGCAGTTTATGTCTAAATGTCGGTACGTATACACAGAATTGCAAATATCGTAAGATTGATCATGACCTACAAAATTGAATATGTTGAGCTTTTTAATTTATCGTCTCAAATATATTTTGGAAGTTAAGCTTGCATTTAAAATCCAAATAAAAACGTATAACACATTGAGCTCGTATATTTGCATACAGTTGTATATGTCTTGTTCAGGTTTGGTGTTTATGCTTCAAACGGGAGTGTGTACGTACATGTATATGGAAATGTTTTTTCTTATGTTTCCTAAATATGCGTAGCTTTATTAGTAAGATATTTTGGAGCTCAAACATGCATGGCATACGTCACTTTCTTCGGAACATATATCTACTGTACATCGAAACCAAAAATGACAGCGTTGTGTTTATTAAACATGAGTATAATCATTCCCGTGGATACCAACGTGTAATTTCAAATTTATCGTTTAGTACTAGTTCTTAACATGAAATTTAAACGCTGAAGCCTGAACAGGTATTCAAATGGTACAAAAGTAAGCGCGCAATACACAGGTCATTATCGTATGATCTGTAAAATGAATCCTTCTGATTGGTTAGTTCTTGTGCTGTACCAATCTGTATTGCTACTGAGATTGTCCTCATCGATCATCGTCGCAGTACAGAAAATATTAGTACGGAGGGGACATTCTCAGTAGCAATACAGAGGATCACGCGATAAAAACGTTATACAGGGTGGGCCAAAAAACGCCACTTTTTTCAAAATGCTATAACTTTTTTAATTTTTGATACAAAATCATAATTTGCATTCCAAATGAAACTTGAGGTTGTTATCTAGCCATGTATCATGAATTGAACACCTTTACTTGACTAAAATATGTCACCAGCGTCTCACTTAAACATGTGGTGTGCCATGAGAAATAAGCATAATTTGCAAAATGTTCCTGAACTGATATGGCCTGATGATCGCCAAGCTAATAGTTCTGATGCAAACCCCAGTGAGTATAGGGTATGGGAAGGTCTCCAGGAGATTGTATGAAGGCACCCAATCTAGAAAATTGCTCAACTAAAGCTGAGAATTAAGACAGGTTGAAAAAACTTAGCTAACATTTCATTGATACTGCTATATCAGCGAGACGACTAAAACTAAAATATATCATCAAATAGGGTGGCGGACCAATTGAACTCCTCTTTTAAATCAGATATAATCCAAGTTGAAGGACTTGTACCATAATATTAATACTAAGAACCCCTGGCACTCTATAACTGCAAAAGTTGGGGTATGTAGGTTGGAAAATAAAAAAGTTATAGTGTCTTGAAAAAAGTGGCGTTTTTTGGCCCACCCTGTAGAATGATTTGAGGTGCAATACAGGATATATTCGTCTCGTGCCAATACGGAATTTCTCGAGCAGAATATATCCTGTATTGCACCTCAAATCATTCAATAACTTATAATATTATTACATTACTGTTATATTCCTCACTCTCTTATTGGTCTCCATGTCCTACAAGTGACAAAAAATAACTAGCGAGATTTAACGGAAGTCACGTGACTTCCGGTGAATATCAAATGATATTCAACGGTCATGACTTATACATCCCCGGGGTTGACTAAGTCCAGTGTAATTTTCATTTTATATATTCGATAATAACCAAAATGGCAGACGGTAAACATAGGTTTCCAAATATTTCTGCAGAGGAAATTGATAGAATCCACGGAAATATTCATTCAGATAACCCATTGCAATGTTACAATTAATTATAATGCTAGCATGAAACCTTAAATTAAAAAACTACAATTTGGGAGTTGATATTTATTGACTATACAATTTAGTAGTTGATGTTTATTGTATTTATTGTTATATTATTAGAAGAAATATAAATGTATTTAAATGTTAACAAATGACTTATTTAATTAAAGAAGATGTTATGACAGTGATATAATAAAACAAATATTTAATTCTATTTTCGGTGAATACCTTGTTATGCGGAATGTGGCATATATTCATGGTTGCGCGGTATTTGTAATACGGATGAATATGCCACCTGCGTATATGGCATATTCCGCAGGAGAGTATGGGATATTCCGCAGTGAATATGCGATACATTGATTTCAGTGAATATCCGATACTCACCTGCGGAATATGCCATATACCATGGGTGAGTATGACATATAACGCAGGTGAAAACGTGATACAGAAAGCCACTTGTGAAAGATGCACAGGTATTCACCTCAATAGAATGAAATATTTCCTACACATTCAAATATTTCCGTGTACATAAACAAAGATATGTGATTCGTGTAAAACATTGAATTGCTATTGTAACAACCTGTGTTGTTATTTTTATTATTCATAGCCTCTTTGGATAATTACAATAAATATAAAGGGTCATTAATTGCATTTTAGTGTATTTTGTGTGTAGCAAGGATGTTTTATTAGGGTAAGATTACTTTTATGTGAAGGATATTTTCAATTTCAGTAATTGAACATGTGATTTTCTAGCTAGATAGTTTTTTAAAGTTCAATCTGCCACTTCAATTTCTGTTTCTGTTACATGTAAACACCACTTTTTGATGAGGGTAGAAACTTGGAGATATAATCCCAAATTAGACCTTCATGACAGAATTTGTTTAATGTGTGATATGTAGGAAGTTGAAAATAAAATACACTTTCTAATAGATTGTCCATTGTATAATGATTTTAAGATATGATGTTTTCACTTATATGTCAACATTGCATCCTTCTTTTGAAAATTCAACACATTTAGCAAAATATTGTTTAATTATGTGTGAGTGCAATGTTTACATGCTAGCAAAGCTAGTATATTGTATGATTAAACGACTTAAATTATTTTTATTGTAAATTTTATTCAGTGTCTCATAAGTCGGCAACGGCTGGACGTGTACATATTACTATTTTACCTCTCCATAAGTATGTATATTTTAATTGTTTTTAGTGTAAATTGTATACGTGAAACACTTAAATAAAGTATTTTAAACTAAAACTATAATCAAACCATATTATTTTGTATTATCATTTATGGAGTAGGACAATTTGATAATCGGTAAGTTAAAATAGAATAACAACCATCACACTCCCTAGTCTAGGCCATATGTACGCTACCATAGTATTTTTAACACCTTGTACTTTTTATTATGTCACGGCTGGGAGAGTGTGACCCCCGGTTGTTACACTTTTTAAACACCTTAATTAATATATAAAGTAAAGATTTTGGTCTTGACCACGGAGTTACAACCATCTTGCCCCAGTCGTTTCTCTGGTCCTTGGGGGATGGGTCATAGTCCAACTAACCACAGAAGGCCGATATATCCCAAGGGTATCATCATACACAAATCGAGGGTCAGTCTGGTTGATGCCATAGCCAAACTCTTCCTGGTTTTCAATTCTCCCAGTATGCATAATGTTTTCTATAAAAATCTGACCATTTGAATCTCGATGACGTATCAGGTATGCCCTGGACGAAAAACCTTGCTGCACGTTTCTGCTGTAGAAGTTGTCAGTTGGATAGTTTGCATCGGTATCGCTGCTTCCTGGAAGTGGTTGTGTGAATAGAAATTATATAACCTCGTACGATTTCTAAATACCATAGATTCATTAATAGACGTACATGATGGTTTTAGTGTCAAACAACAGAAATTGATTATTGTTTGGTGTATACACGTAATTTATATGTAAGTGATAAGTGTAAATATATCTTATCCAAAAGCGATATTTGCCCAAAAATAATTTATCCCCCCCCCACATCCCACAGATTCATTGAACTGGACTCACCTATGAGGAGGCAATTTTTGCAGTTCACCATCACATTCCTTTCAACTATACATTCATCTGCCGACCTCCTGGACCCACTAGTATTGTCGCCACTGTGCATGCTGACACCTCCCCGAACGCCACCAGTCCCTCGTTCTAGCTCCATGTAATTGTTCAATATCATATGATTCCGTCCCATTACTCGAACACCTCCGCAACCAGACTTTTCACGACAGAGAAAATAGTTCCCCTCTACCAGTGTGTTATCTGTATGACGTAATGTCACCAACGATGCACTCTCTTCGAATGTGTTATAGCGAATTACGTTGTGACTTGCCTTGACGGAGATTGACTCTATTTCTCCATCATATTGGTAGAAATAGTTAAACTCAACAATTGTGGAAGTATTATCAAACTCACACTGCTGGAGACCTTTATGAAGAAAATGAAAAGTGAAAACAATAGGTAGCCGTTTTGACTTGTAATCAAAGCATCAATGAAAAGTCCAAGTTACAACTTTTGAATCTAGATATGATTAAGCAACATATCATAGAGTTTTTGATTCTTTGCAATTGTCCATTGTCTGAGAACTAACACGTAAATAATTTACCAAACCCCATGCGCAGGCACAAAAAGAACATTTGAAAACACCAACACTAAGTTTGCTTACCTATTTGAATACCCTCACCATCATCAGCAGAAAGGGTAACCTCTCGAGGTCCAAAGAAATTGTGGGCAATCAAATGCCCACTTGAAGAAGGCTCGTTTGCATCGCACTTGACTCTAACTAATTGACCCAATCCCTCTTTACCCATGAAGGAGTTCCAATCTATTACGTGGTCATCTCCCCAGATCTCTACCCAATGTTGTTTGGATTCATCTGTCCTGGACCACCCAGTGAACGCTGAGTTGGTAAGGCGGCCATTACGACTACCTATGGTGTATAAGGGTAAGTTATGTGCATATATCCTTATTTTCAGGGTCCAGTCATCAACTCGCCGAACGTTTATACGTATACATTACATCGACTTACCCTTTTCAAATGTAACACCAGTTCTCAAATTGCTACCACTTCCATCGAACCTCAACCCTCTGATTTCAACATGACTCCCTATTACTGAAATAGAAGAACGCCCGCGTAACACCGAACCTCCATCAGTCTCCGACATGAGGTAGATCTTGTTTCCCGCTCCCTCTGCCCCAGACGCCGTTAACACAATCGCAGCGTCGTTCCAGTCCCCATCGCGCATGATCATGTAGTCTCCCGGCGTCATAGTCTCCTGGGCTAGTAAGATATCGAGACTGTTCGAAACTTGGAAAGCTCGGCCGTTTGGTCTTTCCCACTCCCCTCCTCCGCCACCAGGCACTATTGCAACAATGAAAATGCTTCTGACCGTGTTTGGGCAAGATTAAACAATATTGAAAATGTAATGAGAGTCAGCAACGGGAGGTTAACAAATAATTAATATTGATATGTGTTAATTTTATCATTCCCAATACAAAAAGAACAGAACGAAAATACACGACTTTTCAATTTCATTTCACCTGTTCTCACCTTGACAACGGTACTCCACTCTCATAGTTCTGGGGACGTCTTGTGGGTTATCTGGGCAAGGGTCGCCGTTAATATCGTTATTCGCTAATATTGTACACCGCTGCCTATCTTGACATAGCTGACGTACGTGGTCGAATGTGTCCACCCAACATTCTCGGGGAACAGTAACCTATGTAGCACAAATAATCACGTCAGCTTACATGTACTTTACTATTCACTAAAATAATTTTAATTGGACAGACATGACAAATATCTGTTTTTACAGATTAATCCCAACTAGTTAAAAATTTGCAATTATAATCATATTTTTATCTTTATCGTTATTTATGTCTTACCATATCAGCAGTACATATTCCTGATCTTCGTTTACGGCCATACCTCGATGCGAGGACGTGGAGCGCCTGACCACTCGGACAGCTGATCGTTTTCTCTTCCCCCTCACATATCCAGGTGAATCGCTCTTCCTGCGCATGCGCACCAAAGATGCTAACAAGCCCTTAACATAAATAAGCATTGTCAAGGGACAAACGAGAATAATTACATTGTGCAAATCTTGAGCAGTCAATGGTCGTTTGGGCTCCATAGTCGCTCGTGGCATAATTCAAGTTACCTTGCAGGGGGAGATTTCCCAAAGATGAGCGTTGGTATTGGCACGTTAAATACTGGTAACCAATTTCATAAAGAGGTCTCGTTTGCCATTAAAATTGATCTCAGAATGTTCGATGTTGTTTAATGACTGTTCTCTACAAGTTAAGATGGATTAACTTTAGGTGCCATGGTACTTAACAGGAAATGACAAAACAGGAAGTGACAAAACCATGCTGGATTTTGAAGATTTTTTGAACCAAGATAACAGAGTTCTGTTTTGACCTCCAGTCAGTTTAACTAATTCAACACATCATTTACATGACCAGGATCATTTACATGGTCAAAATGACCCTTCCTAATCAAATGATGAAATATAACTTTTTCAGCCCTTTGAAAATGTGACTGAAAAATAGCTGTCCATGCTATAAACTTGCAATAGTCAATTAATTTAATGATTTATGAAAAAGTATTGGTTGATGCTATGGAATGAGCCTGTTGCGATTAATCTTGAAATTTTTGGATGTCAAACGAATAAACCAAGGTTTTAAAGAATTTTAGTATTCCATCAATGGAGATTAGGCCCAAGATTTGACATAACTGGATAAGTCAAAGTTATTATTGTGGAAAACTTTTCATTGAATTCAAATATGATATTCAAAAGAAGGAAAAGTTAGTTGTAAAAGGTTAAAAGTGCAAATCTCTTAAAGTCTCATGAAAACGAGAATTGGCGAGATTTCAAAGCTATATGGAACCTCGTCTATATTTTTCATAATTTCAAAGCTTGTATATATTGGGCAGATTTTCTGAAAAATTCAAAAGATCCAGTTCAGTGACCTTTCCCGAGGTGCTACTTTAAGCTATTATTCAGTCACATTTTCAGAGGGCTAAAAAGATATTTCATCATGTTTAGAGTCATTCTGACCATATACATAGTGATCATGGTCATGTAAATGATATGTGGAACTAGTTAAACTGACTGGAGGTCAAAACAGATGTCTGTATCATTCTAATAGATATATTGGAAATTTAAAAACATTCGTGCATTTAAACCATTCTGATAATGCACTCGGGCTTCGCCTTCGTGCATCATGTGTCCGAATTTGTACGTGCCCTCATGCTTTTAAATTTAGAATGATATGTGCGATTATTTCTATTACTTAAATTGATTAATAATCAAACTAGAATGGCATTTTCAACTAAGACATTTCATTCTTGTTACACAACTGGTAATTGCATTCTAACAACGTATTGGTTTAAATTTAGAATTTGATTGATAAGATGTTTAAGAACTGCCCGTATATGATGACTTACCCAAAACAATCAATCCAAATGTAACGTTTATCATCATAGCACAAGGTCACTAAATGAGGACCTTCAATAAAAACCTACAGTAATGTAATGGGTGTGAAAACGCATATGTTCACAAATGTTCGTTCATGAGGTCAAAATTAATAGTATGTAGAATCACACATTAAGACTTTGAATAAACTCTTCGTGTCGCCTTTCTTATCCAACCGAACGCAATAAAGGCCGATCGTGCGAAGATGGTTATGCAATGGGTCGATATAATGAGAAACGGTCAATAGATGTCATAAATAAAAGGCTCCTTGGGTCACATCATCTTACGATAAAGCATGGTCCGTCCGTCCGGCCGGCCGGCCGCCTGCCCGCCCTACTACAGGCTAACAAGAGATTTGCACATGAATTAGATCCAGAAAGTTAGCTCATCCTGACCTTATGACCATACATGTGATTGTGTGGCAGAACATTGAGCAATACTTTTTTGATTGCAAGTTTTTACATCATTTACATTATTGTTTTACATTACTTAGCGTTTAGATTATTCTCTCGACTGGAGTCACTCGCAGGGTAGCCTACAGAATAATTAAGTATTCTTTCAAGTATTTTCACATGTTCCAAGCCTGATATATAGTGACTGATATCAGATGTCTCTCAGATCATTTTCATTTTAGAAACTTCTTAGAAAATAAATATTTACATCCCATTCTCACTTGTTTTTGTGTTAGCAGATATTTAGAGCTGTTTCGTTTCTCTAGTTCCTTAATCCTTCAAAGCCACTGAATGAAACATTGTGATGTGCCGTTTATTCGAATGTAAATGATTATCTGAATGACAAAACTTATTTCAAGCATGATATATAAAGTACCATTTCACAGATTTATTTCATGATAATTTCGAGCTTGATGTGATGTTTGTGAGACAATACCATTATTCTAATGTTTTATTCCTTGGTCGTCTAGTTCAAGGATTTGAAAAACAATATGCTTGTTTTCAAAAATAGAAATAATTTAACCCTCTGTATCTGATACTCTTCTAAATACTCTCCATTGTTAGTAAGGGTGGTCTCACGCTCGATACTTGTCACGTGTGTATCAGACCTAAAGAACTCTTACACCCCAGTCACATTTCCCAAGGCAGCCAGTACGCTCGCCTTAGAATTTCTGCGCTCTCATACTTTTGCATTCACATTTCCCACGGCAGCCGCACGGTGAATTTTAAATTTCTGTTGATAAATAATACTTTTTTCATTCTATTTACATCAGGACAATTTATAAATGTTATTCATAGTGCTAGCTAATGAAAAGTGATCGTGAAACATTGACAAATAATGATTCAATCTTGTCGAGCCAGTTGATTTCTACGGGGACCTCAGAAATGCGGCCTGTAAAAAACTGGATACGCCGTACGGAGGCCGCAAGGCGAGCGTAGTTTTCCTACGCTCGCCGCAGAAATTAACTAATTTAATTGATCTGCGGTCGACGCACGTCCTCCGTACGACAAATGTGACTGGGGTGTTAACCGAATTAGTTACTGGGCCGTTAGTTACAACATAAAGTACCTATCTTAACACCAAGCAAAAAAGGAATTGAATTATATTTTGTAAAAAATGAAAAAGACAATATCACTCTATCGTGCCTTAAAAAGTTTAAAACAGAAAGGAAATGCCCATTGCATGGACTGGGTAATTTCCTTTTGAATAACGAAACATATCCCTGAAACTAATGTGTGAAGTTGGTGAAGAATGTGGTGTGAAAGTGGTTTAATATTTTAGATTTTTAGCTTTATTTCATGTTTGACTCAATAAAGAAAAATGAATGAAGTTTTGTTGGTGTTATTATGAAAAATAGTATACCCCAAGCCGGACAAATGTTTCAATGACAACCCGTGAAAATAGGCTTATTAGATACAGGGTAAGTCCTAAGTTTTGATTGTTACATTTTTGAATGAGTTTTGAAATCTGATTGATATCAATTAAGCTCAGTTTCCAAAATGTACCAAAACACAACAATACTAACTAGACATAAAGTCGTATGGAGCGATTTCTTAGAATGGCGGGCCTTGCCCCAACGAGAAACTCGAGCGATTCGGAGCACAGGCGAAAATAAAAAGCATCTGTAAATAAAAGAAATTATGTGATTCAACTCGGCACGGCATTCGGGTTAAATTGACAGGGTGTCAAGTTCAAGGTCACAATCCATTCTTGAGCAAATGCTGTTCAACATGTTTTGACATTGTTTAGTGTTTATTACCGATAAATCCCCAGTAAATAGTTTTCTTTCAAAGCGACATGGAAGTAAAATGTTTTGCAGATTTGTCTTGCTGTTAGAAATTGTAAACATGTATTGGTAACCACGATAAACGCCAATTATAACTTCCTTAGACTCATGATAATGAAAGGGTTAACATTTAAGTACCGCGGGAGTTGCTATAAAAGCAGATACATTTTGTGCGGATGCCATCACGGTTGGGACGAACCATCCAAAAGACTTGTTTTAAGAATTTGGAAAACGGCTGCATCGGGCTACAAAGATGGCATCATCATTCAAGCTAGCAATTGTGGCGGTTATACTTGCAATACCTGTTACCGCTTCATATTTAGATGACGTCATCCCAGATGATTACCAAGATGATTCGGGACCATTTGCGACGAGAAACAAACGTTCGAGTGTTTTTTTCCGGCCATGATCCCGAGGGAGAGGAGGTTCTAAACAGAATGAATGCAATCATGTCAAACACAAGTATTAGTGCTCGAAGTAAACGGATTTTGGAGGCAGCCATTGGTAACATTGGAAAAGGCAATACCGACTCCGCTCCTGAGATGCCAAGTTTTAGATCAAATTCTAGATCGGCTATTTTATCCTTGTCGTAAGTTTATTGTTCTTTTCTAGCTATTTTATGAGTATATGAGTACAGGTGGTCAAAAACATACATCATACATCCATGATTTTATGTACAATGTATGGCATCAGGCCCGTAGCTAGAGGGGGAGTAGGGGGAGCGCCCTCCTCCCACCCTGGCTAGAAATTCTTTCAAAATCGTGTAGTTTTTCAAAATTCTGAACACTTTTCGCGTGATTTTTTAGCCAAAACTGTTAAAAAAGCTCCCCCTCCTGGCAAAAGTTGGACATTAATATTACATCTATAAGTAATTAAAATCCTGTTGATGATAAATTAATTTTGAACCGCTGACAATGTTTCCGTGCCAACGCTTAGTGTCTTTATTCTCCGCAGTTAAGAATTTCCTGATATGAATATTAGCCGTTAAGATTTGTAACTATTTGGAGACCAATGTGATACATTTAACGATTCCCTCGTCCCAGAGGGCAGATATAGTTGAGCAAACTAAGATCAAAAGAGTGACGCTATTTGTCCCACCATTAGAAAGGTGAACGTGTCAGAAATAAGAATATAGAAACATTGCGAACGTCTGCTTGTTAATTAGAATAAGGGTTAATCGAATAATGCTTTCATGAACAAGGGCCATTTTTTGAAAAATAATTGCTGAAATAATTTACTTTCCTTAGAATGGAATTTCTTTTTGAGATGACCCTTGACCTCCAATGGCCTTTGACCTTGAAACCACTGAACCTCCGTTAGCAGGCCAGAACTTGGGAGAAATTGCGTCAATAATTTTTTATTAAAGAATGGACTTTCGCTTGGACATGCTTTCTCGTTTTAGGATAAATGCGTACACACCGCCTAGGCCCAACCTTCATGCTACCGAGTGCTGCTGTCAGGTAATATTATTGAAGAATAGCAAACTGTATAAAGAAGAAATAAGCGTCGTATCCTCTTTCATTTGTTCGTTCTTTTTCATGCGTTCATGTGTTTAGCAATGAAATAATTACTACATGTGAATGATATAAATTTCGGAAATTGATGTTCATGCCATCATCCACATACCATTCATCAGCACACGAATTTTATCTCATTAAGGTCACAAGACAACTGACACCTTGAAAACGTAGTACTAAAAATGTCAGAATGATAAAAATGGCGGTGATTTATTAGAAGACTGGAACATTAATGATAAGACCTACAACTCGTAAATCACGTACGCTGAAATGATGTCATCTTAAATTCAGCAAGCTGATTGGCTAATCATGTTGACCTTGACACCAAATAAGAAATAGGGGTGTGCCAGAATTGACCAATTAATGGAGTTCGCTAGGAGATTGTTGGGCGGAAAGAACGCTTGGTGGCAATACTGCTTGAAGAAATCATCATATTAGATATTTTGATTCTGTTTTAGGTAAACATACCACCATCAACCGAAAAAAGATCCTATGAAGTCCAAAAATATAGATACTCTTATAGAAGTGTAAGGAATGGTTATCGCAGTTGTGGCTGGTGGGGATGGGGGCGGTGCACCCAATATACTCATGTACAAGAGTAAGTTTGGCTTGCAGCACTGAATGCCATGTTCGCCATGTTCTTTGGCTGCCTTGCCTTCAAATGCTTCAGCTGTGTTACTTGTTCATCTTATTTCAATGAAACTTTAGATAGTCCTTATAATAATGCTCTTATGGACACTTGTGCCTGAGATGTACTCTGTGTACATTTTTTTTAGCTGAGTCCATATTTCTGCACCACCCTGTATTTTTAAAAAGGTTTTCCATAAAAACTTCACCAAATATAGATATGAAAGGTCAAGTTCCAAAAGAGAAAGTCCAAATTTGACATCCCCATCAGTAAGCTTTACTAAGAAACATTGTCTATATAGGTTGTCAAATGGCGTCGACCCTGAGCTATATAGCTACATGTATACCATTGGAAAGAGCATTTATTATGTGTTGTACATGATAAGCTCTCTTTAAATTTTATTAAATAGATTGCATTAATATTTTGAACTTTCAGCCGTCACCCTTACACTCAAACAGTATATTACACAATCAAAGTGGCACGGTCTTGTCCTACTAGACTCCAAGTATGTTGTCGAGGTTATGTGGCCTATAAACGGTGTTGCACAAGTAAGTCTAACTGAACAGGTCACAAAACATTCATATGATACATTTACGATCGTATATAGCACTTCAGTAGTGCTTTATCACAGGCCGTGTTTCTGTAGTTTATCAATACAAAAACTTGACGACCTGTTACTCTGAATGATTGTTTTAGATATTTTTTTAGATTATTAGGAATCTGGGCTGATTTATGTATTTTCATTTCACTTTGTGTATTCTAAAGTACATCTTTGTGTTTTCCAAAGTGCCTCTTTGTACATTCTCAACTATGACTATGAATTAATATTATTAACAACCATTTATCTGACATGGAAAGGAGTTTTGAGTTAAGATTTTTAGGCAATCAGTCTTTATTTTTTTTATCCCTCTACGTTTACCTCATTTCTGAGTTGGCCTTCATTTCAAGTATCTATGCGCATTTTTGTATGTTTATTCCAGATATCAAAGAGATGAAAAGGTTACTTGATCTGTTTGAAAGTCAGCGTGGACAGTTTGAAAGTCTTCGTGCGTTCCTAATATCACAGGGCCACAATCCAGATGCAGGTTGCCCCATGTCATGTGGACCTTAAAGGAACACTAAACCCAAAAATTATTCATGCTGCCATACCCTAAAGGCAGGTTGCCCCATGTCATGTGAACCTTAGGAACAGTATACCCAAATATTATTCATACTGACATACCCCAGAAGCAGGTTGCCCCATGTCATATGGACCTTATGTCAAGTTGACCTTAAAGGAACACTATTACCCAAATATTATCCATGCTGCCATACCCTAGAGGCAGGTTGCCCCATGTCATGTGGACCTTAAAGGAACATTATACCCAAATATTATTTATGCTGACATACCCCAGATGCAGGTTGTCCCATGTCATGTGGACCTTAAAGGAATATTATACCCAAATATTATCCATGCTGTCATACCCTAGAGGCAGGTTGCCCCATGCCATGTGAACCTTAAAGGAACATTATACCCTAATATTATTCATGCTGACATACCCCAGAGGCAGGTTGCTCCATGTCAAAGAAGAGAAAATATCTAAAAGGCTATTTTACTCTTTTGACGCAAAAGTAAAAATTAGTACATTAATTGATTACGGAGCGAGAATTTCAGTGAGATTTATATTGACACGCTGCTCATGCGATACTTCGCAAATTCATGCAGTATTACATTTATAGAAAGCCAGTTAGAAAACTATATCTTATATTAAGCACTATTAGAGTCTCATCTATGTATCATAATTACATGACACAGTACATAAACTACATTACGTATGAAATCATGCCTTCCAGGTTTTTTGTCGTTTCCCTTATAACATTTGACTTACCTTTATAAGTCGCCCTGTACCATGGACTTTCAAGATGGAAAGCCCATGTCTGAACTACTGTACTAACTGCCCCAACATACATTTTGAACTATGATATGACAGGGGGGTCGCGGTTCGAGGGAACACAACCCCCCCCCCCCCCCGGCCAAAATTTCTAAATCATGCAGCTTTTCTGAGTACTTTTCAAGTGATTTGAAAAGTTGCCAAAAGATAGCTCCCCTGGAAAATCTCCACCCCCCCCCCCCCCCCCCCCCTATGGCAAAGGCTGGTTACGGGCCTGTTACGGGCTTGTAATGAGTATATATCGTATCATATGGTCCCATATTATTTTCACGATACCATGACACGCTATAACATCAAATCTCATATTATATCTATTTAAAAGATGGCAGTACAGTCAGTTGTTCAACGATAAAAAAAATAAACAACTAACCACGCTGCCATCTTTCTATCAGCCTAGTATTCATTCCCAATAGACCCCATGTTACAAAATCACAAAAAGTAAAATATCTTTTTGTATTGGACACATAACATTTTCATTTGACTGGACATATTTTATTTTGCATAAATATTAGATACATGAGGGTGATATAAAAATTGAGCCACTTAAACATGAACATATAAGTTAAAGGGAACTTTCTACTATACCCGCTATCCTATCCGAGAGAGCCACCTGGTGGTGAAACTGGTAACTACCTACTCGCATCTGCGTTATTATAATGTGATGTTAGTCTCAGGCTAAACTAGCCAATGCTTGATACCACTCATATACACACTTGTCAATCTCGCCCCTATCTTTTCGAAAAATCTCTTTCGAAGCTGGAAGGAACATATTGATTGTCATACAGATTTAATGAAACAAAATAACATTTTGCTTTAATTGAAAATTGTCTTGTTAATGCCTTTTTTATTTCTACATTCAAGGTCCAATGAATGGTAAGTATAGAGAGCAGTAACAAACGTGTACCAATTTGTAACTTCCAGCATCAAGAGGTTGATTCGATTTTTATTGGTCAAAAATTTGAAAATTCGATGATGAAAATCAATTTTTTCTACTTGCTTCTAGTCTTTGGTTATTTCTTAAATATGAACTAGAAATTAAATAATTATAATTTTCAAAATCTGATATTCTGATGAGATTGAGAACGGGTAGCGAGAACATAGTAAAAGTAAAGTAAAAAAATCACAACCACGTTTTTTGAAGTTCTTATTTAAAGGTTTAGCATGCATTAATGATGCGATTGTGATGTTCAACATACACGATCGATCTATCGATGAAATATCTATCAGTTTTGCCAAGGCCAACATTTAATGATTCATTTCTGTTGTAGTTATATATATTTAGAAAACATTAAGAATAAAAAGCGAATTTTTATTTGAAAAAACAGTGACTAAGTATAACGGATTTAACCACAAAACCCCCGTAAACAAATACAAGTTTTAAAAAATTTTCATAAACGTAGGTAAAATGTAAAGATTCGGAATTAAACGCATTTGAACAGCAATTTTGACTTTATTCAAACTGAACAGAACACCATAGTTTTTACGTTGTCCGAAGCGCTCACCATGGCACGTTTGAAGACATCAAATGTGCCCAGATTGAGTACCAGTAAACAGTGAAGACGACAAAACGATTCCAGCTGAACTGAAGGGCTAAATGTTCGAGGTGTGGCAAGGTACAATATCCCGACAAACAGGTGTAGCAGCTCGTAATTAAACCATTCAATGCAATAACACTAATGAAAATAAACAAACGTGATGAGATGATAGGCTTGGAGTACAGATAAATGAAAGTGCACTTAATGACAATTGAGACAGTTATAAGAGATTTGAGAGTTCGGTGTTTGTTAAGGGAGAAGTAGACCCCTGAACGTGACAGATTTTAAAGACCACCAGCTTGTATAGATAGTTTAAGCCGATATTTTAATAACACTTAATTTAATAACTCTCCATTTCTCAATGCCTATAACATCATTGGGATAGCAATAAAATAATGTATCAATCGGGTATCAATCCACTGTTTGTCATTTGCTGAATAAATGTTTGTCAACTCGTAGCACTTGACCAAAAGTAAATATAAGAAAACGTTCGACAGTTGCATCAAAGACTCGCAGACAACAGATGCGGATATTGAAAACTAATGGAGGGAAGCTCGTAGATAAACCTTGCAATTCTATGAGTTTGTTTTCTTTTTTATTATCTGGAAATAGTCTGAACGATAATCCACGTACCTTACACCTGTTAAATTATAGGTATTGGCAACAATAATGATTCATCATCATTTCAATTAAATATCCGATCCGATTACCCAGAGAGAAAGAGGACATATTTTAAACATTTTTATGTCCGATTGTGGCACTCATACATATTCGTTTATCGAATTAGACTAAGCTTCTTGGTACCCTTTGCATTCGTTTGACTTCACTTCTTAAAAGAGAGCTTCGTCTAAGTTTAACTAGACTCTGCACGCAGGGTAGCTTCTTGGTTTAATGAATACAAAATCAATCGAATGCAAAATATAAATTTCAAAGATTGTCTAGAAATACTGCCAAATGCAAATTTTTCAATTTAGTATAGCATCTTTTTTTGGACCCCGGGCTCCGACTCCCCATGTGAGGTGAGTAGTGGCCGGTCGCAACACCTTATGGCAAAACTATTTAAAATGCTAATATTATAGAAATATCATTATTTCCGTAATACAAGAATGCTAATAATACACATGCCAAATATAACGATGGTAATAATGAGTGTTGCAACTTGCAACGATAATGATGTTCACAAAAAAACACGTTAAATGTTTATAATTGCTATTTAATAGGCATGGCACTGATGATAATGCCCATAAAACCAAAGGCAGAGATTATAATGCTAGTATTAAAGCAAGGCAATGAATGATACTAAAGGTGACAACAATCAACACAAATCTACACAATGGTAATTTTGAACAAGTTGTTGATTTTGTAAATGCAAAACAGTATTCGGGTTCATTTTGTCATCTCGATGCATACAGATAAGTGAACATTCCAAAAGATCGATGACGGAAAATAAATAACTGTATTTGAAGAGTTAATATGTGACACCCCCCCCCCCCTCCCCCTCCCCATAACTGTTCAAATAGCTAATAGTTAATTTTGTAGTCTGTGATAAAATAATACATAAACTAAATGACATAACATATTCTTCAATTTAGAAATCGATTTCATTAAGAGAAAACGGAAAGAATGTGGAGTGTGTTGGCAGTGTTACACTTGACTCGTGTTTGTACAACACTGTTAAACGATACACCTGTCGTTTTCAAAAAACGTAATTAAATAAAATATAAAAACACCAATAAAATGTATTGTTAAGTTATTGTTTGATTCAAACTGCGGAATGGGGTTTCTGTTTGCTTAACATGGAGAGCTGGTGAATAGAAAGTAGGTATTTGATCTGTGGAAGTGATTCCATAGACTAACAATGTTCCAGTGTGTACATATATCAGGTGGATACAGCTCACCTGTAATCCAAGTTATAAATCACAGGTATCATGTCGTCTTAACACCCAGGAATAAAATACAAACAATTTGAATCATCGCCATATGTACTGAATTGTTTATATATTATGTACTGTATGTGTATAAATCAATTAGTTAACTACATATTCACATATATCACAGACGTGACGTAAGATGAAAACAATAGGTGAAGCATGGCCATAACACAAGAAACATGATTTTGAAATAATTCACAATTGTATTCCTGGGGCCCCGGGTGTCGTCCGTTTATCATGTTTTGTGGGGAGAAGTTGTTATTGTTAGTATGTACCACTACCACATATTTAATAATTCATTGTATCTCAATCAGGGATATTATAATAGGGGTATGTTCTGTGGTAATGATAAGTAGGGAAAGTAACAGCTTTCCGATGGAGAAACACTATTTTGAACTTCATCTCATTAAAACATTTGGAATGGAAATTGATAAACAAGATTTCTACAATTAGTATAATTGAACACAGATTCGCTTTTAAAATAGCCCCCCCCCCCCCCTCCCCAACAACCGTTAATTACAAAAGATGGAAATATCAAAAGATACAAGGGGCGTTCAATGAATTCAATAAAATACAATGCAATGCAATACAATACATGCAATACATTCAATATACAATACAATACGATACGAAACAATACAATAAAATACACAACAATACAAAATACAAAAGAAAAATCCGCGATATACCAAACTATGATATCAGCATAAAACCCTAAAACATTATCTATGGACTATAATATATAATCGACTATATGTTTATATAATCGGAATCCAATCATTCCTATGATGTTTGCGGCTGATGCCCATTGCATAACCTAGTCCGTTTTTACCACCGAGCTAAAGTTTAATTATTTACCAAATTAGACCTTATCATTTGTTTAGTTTGCTGGATTTAATACAATCTAAGATGACGGTATAATTGATTATTGAAAGGAGTAAAAGTTGTGGAGGAACGTGGACCGATTAAACGTGTAAAATGAAATGATTTGAGCATTTGAGCACCTGTTCCAGTATATCAATGAAAGATTACGCCAAATGGCAATAAATCCTAGTATGCGATCACACCAAAAGCATGTCCCGCTTTTGATACATTTGTTGAAATTAATTTGACAACTTTTAAATGACTATTCAGGAAAATTGTTCTCAACTTAAAAATCTATTAACGTTCCAGTAGCTCGCTTTCACAAACCTAAATAGGTAAATAGAGAAAAACATTTGAAATCCCGAACAGTGTGTGTAGAGTCAATATCAAAGAAAGTTATCCCTATGTATAAGCAGAGGATGTTGATCTAACCATTGAACACATTGATGGATAAAAATTACAGATATTATGCTTAGTTAAATGGTTAATAGTTGGCATTGAATAGTCAATCAGGATTGGACAACATCCTGTTTAGTTTTGATATTCATGAGATTTTCCTTTTCAAACATGAGAAGCGGGTCTTAAAATATCAACTTTACTTTCAAATTGCCCGACGTTTCGTATTTCTTAGGCTCTTAGAAATATATTTGGTGTAAGATTTAAGATCATATCGTAGGTACCATGTCTGCTCGTAGTTTATAACTCGAGTCTGTATTGGAGCGTATTACATGAAAAAATCGTATTGTCCCCGGGAAAAAATCGTATTGGAACGTTTAACCTATTTTTGGTTTTCCTGTTATTTAACTTAGCTAATTGATAAAAGCATTTTCAAAATGTAACATTTTAGAGGAATGTATTATGGAATAAATAGGTTATTTCTGGTCGGGATTAAATATGGGTTTCATTCCTCAGAAAATATGATAGTGACCTTGGGAAATATGATATTGACACTCGGTCGCTGCGCTCCCTCGGTCAATATCATATTACCCTTCGGTCAATATCATATTGTCTCTCGGAATAAAACCCATATTCAATCCCTCCCAGTAAATAACCTATATAATAATATTTTAGATAATATACGATATAAAATATTTATATATAATATATATATCGTATATTAAGTACAATACAACGCAGTACAGTTAATAGTACAATACAATATAGAATAGTTCACTATTAGATTGTATTACATACCCAGCGAAGCATTTGTATTGAAGTCAATGGAGCTGAAGGTCGGCTATATATTCCTGCATAGCCGCCAAACCTTTTACCATGACAATCTTATGACGTCATCGGGACGTCATGTTTCATTTCTTCCTAATTTCACTCGCACACAGACACGTGGCGTCATTGATATAACGTAGCCATGATATAAAAGTATGTAATACAACAGTTATGTCCGTATCATTGAATATATGCCTTCGGTCTGTCGTAATATAAGTTATAATCCTCGCAAGCTCGGGCTATATTGGTGACAGACCTCAGGCATATATTCAATGATAGGGACATAACTGCTAAATATAGTAAAATATATGAAATAATATGATATAATATAATAACATAGTATAATATGATATGATATAATAAATGTCCTTGTAAAGAATATGTAAAGAAACCCTTATCTTATTCTGTGTATGAACATCGTATCATCATGTGGATGAACAGCATTTCCTATGAATGAGCATCGTCGATTCAAAAGTATGGTGTTTACATTTACAATGTAAGAAAGTTAATCTAGTTAAATCTAGTTAATGAAAAATTTTTTTCAAAAAGCAGACCTGCAATGTCTCTTTTATAATCCGAATTATCTATAAAAAGAATTGAGATATCTCACCAAGTTATTGAAAAGATTTTCAAAATGATTGCTATATTAAATTAAAGTAATAGCATAAAATAAAGTCAGAACTATTTCCTTTTAAGACAAAAGACATCAACCGTACGAGCATTTTGCTCATTGAATAGTTTTTATACGTCTAACATGTCTATAATTTTGTCATAATTTTGTACTTTTATTTTACATCACTGTACATATAAATTGTATCTCCATTTTATTATGGGCAATAAAGATATACAATACAATACAATACAATACAATACAATGCAATTACAATCACAAGGAATGTTGTAAGCAAAGCATATTTCGGCAATTTTGAAGATATTTTAAATGATCATTAAATCACGTAAAGCAATTATATTTCATTCGTTTATATATCAATACTTGAATGGATACTATTGTCAAAAAAATATTTTGCAAAAGAATGTGAAAAGTTTGAATCACTCGATTATCATATACACAGCCATCCAAAAATCAATTCGATCAAGAATTTCAAAACTGCTAAAATAATCATTCAAAACTAGCCTGAGTGGCAAGAAAAAATAACACTAGGCTCATTGAAAGTAAAATCTATTGAAATTATCTATACACGAAATTATTCTTCAATTTGATAGCAAATCAAACACAAACGTTTATAAGGAATACGACAAACAGAGAAAAAAGTAAGTCAATCGATCGATATCAGAGAACGTCAATGTCATAATCCAAAATGCAACATCTCCCATGGTGATCTTGTCTGATGGGGTTGCTAATAGCCCGATATATTGGGTAGTTTGGAACATTTGAACGTCAGACATTTCATACAGTTATCTTATGCCCATCTAGGTCTATGGAGGCACCCCATACTTAGTAACCGATGATGTAACAAGGTCGCAGTGACATATGAGTAAAAATTATTGCAGCAAAATAATTGAATATGAATAAAAGTATTTATCACTCTCAGAGTCGCTAACCATACAGATGCTTGTGTTTCTAAATTAAAGTGATTGATATTATCATAACATAAAACAAAACATTGAGCTGGTTGTAATCATAATTCTAACACTATGCTCATTATTAGCACGTTAGCACTTGATTGAATGGACAGCTACGCCCATTTCCTTTAAATGATACATCATTCAATATTCGACCAATCGCAGGGCGCAATGGATTAACTCTATAGAGAATCGGCGATTCGATGTATCAAAACTGTTTCAACGTCTTCGTCTTTTTAATAACTATCGAGGCATTCGATCAAGCACTCAGGAATCTCTTGAACAGCAAACATACTTGAAAAATTGGCAGAAACAAGCAGCAAAAGACAATACACCAAACGTCGTCAAAATACACAATGAAATAAAACTAACTAAAACCGTGAGTCAAGATTAGAAGTCAACAAGATACAACCAAAGACATTTACTGGAAGAATTTTCGGTCAGTTTTCAGATATTCTATATCATTAACCATATCATACTGTGTTTATTAATGATGGAAAACTGGACTAGATCACAAAACAGCATGCTATAAGAAGCTGTTGGGGATACAACCAACGAGACAAAAAGTGAAAAAGTCTAACTAAAAGGAAAGGAATCAATTTAGCTATTGAGATGGATGATTGTGAGGAACCGCGTTCACCAACTGATAACCATAACGAAAATAATCCTAAAGAAAATGACACTGGAGATGAAACAAAGGCATCTACCCATAATCAACAAGAGCAATCTGAGCCACAAGACAATGAAGCATCACCAAAACCAGAGAATGACATTGAAATTAATGACACGGGTATATCTCACCAACAAAATCCTCCAAGCAGTAAATCGCCTACTGCCAAAACATCATTTTCTGTCACAGACATTCTGAATCCTGTAAAGTTCCGTGGGACAAGTTTGGACTTACAAAAGATCTGGAACCCGTGGGGGGAACTCATGCACCATTCGAACATACATAGCATGCACAAAGGTATGTTAATAATTTATAATTAATATTTCAGAAACATTTGATTTTGTTGACAGATATCTTTAAAGATTATGATTATTTTATTCTGGCATTCATATTATTTCCAGAATATTTTTAGGAATAATTTAATAGTTTTTATTTTTACCTGTATTTGATGTTCGTTTTTCATGATAGAATACCTTACTTATATTTGATCAGAATAAATATTTTTATATTTAATGAATTTATGGATTTCCTTAACTGTAAGATATTGAATAGTAAGGTTAAGAGAGGACACAATCTTGTTTATTCCAAATAGCTGTCGAATTAGTATAAATAATCAGATAAATAAATGATAAGATTATTGTAGAAATTAAAAGTTAAGTTGTTAATCTGTTGAAAAATTCGCAATATGATGAAAATAATACTCCCTAAATAAACAAACACTGCCTTAAACGAGGTATTAAGAGCATAATTTTCAAAATAAGTTTTGATAGCCTTTCGTGTTACATTAACTTCTGATAAAGCCTAATCTATACTTTTGGGCAGTGTAATCTACGCTTTGGGCAAAGGATTTTTTGAGTCTCCAAATTTCTTAATCGATAATTTACCAACAAATTAGAGCTTTTAAAAGATAATTTCTTTCTTCCAGCAGAGCATTAAGCCATTTAGTTCCCTTTTAGTTCTTATTGGATTTAAATATCGACGTTTAGCACAAATAAAGCGGTCTTTTATAAAGATCGAATTAGGGAAAATCAGCTTATCTCTCATAGTTCAAAAGCCTAAATAGACATAACAAAACGTAATCTTCTGTTTCGCTTTTGATACAAGGAACACTGGAATTTTTCAAATTTGTCACATTTAAGCTGTGCGTTTGATGGAACGTGTTACCTACTGATTAGCCTATATTCAAGTCTATGTTAGGGATCTAAGTTATCTTGTTTTTTTTATGCCGCCTTTTTGATTACTCATTATTCCACATTTCGAACCTATTTGTTGCATTCGTTCGTTTCAATAGAAATATTTTTAGTTTGCTTTATATCATGAATTGATTTATGATCTATACTTCAATATAACAAATATGTTCTTATGTTTTTTAGAAAGAGAGACAGACGACAGAGATGATCACGTGGTCGGCAGAGAGGAAGACCCGGATGAAAGTGATGATGACATAATGAAGGATCCCATGAGCCCGGGAGGGGGAAAAGCAGGAAAACCAAGACGCGCACGCACCGCATTTACATATGAACAATTAGTTGCACTGGAAAACAAATTCAAACAGACTCGTTACTTATCAGTGTGTGAGAGACTGAATTTAGCTCTAAGTCTGAGCCTAACAGAGACACAGGTCAAAATCTGGTTCCAGAACAGAAGAACTAAGTGGAAAAAACAGAATCCTGGAATGGACGTTAACAGCCCGACAGTACCCCCATCACCCCCTTCTAGCTTCCCTTCAGGCTACCCCCATAGTCTATTCTACCCCTACCCCATGCATCATTACACCGCGTTCTCACCCACATACCTACTCAACCAGGCGAAATTACTACAAGCCAGCGGCGTACCCTCATCCTTACTACCCCATGTTCCTCGGTTATAACTTACCCCACACAACCCGACCTAAATGATTAAGAGTATAAAATATGTTTTTTATTAACAGAATAGAGCTAAAATCTTGACATATTTGTGAGACACGGGCGTGGTCAGATTCTCAAAAGAGCCGAGGCAATTTTAATTGGCGATTCAAAATTTAGTTTTTTGATACGTCTGAATTAATATTTTCTGGCTGACCCATTCCTGGTTACTCCCTTGTAAAAAAATATGTTTTTGATCTGTACTACGCTTATTACAAGTGTGTTATTTCAATTATTGAAATATATCATTTAGGCTATCCTGATCCAGGGAGCTGTTACTCAAGGAAATGTTATCATTTGATTCAAATATATTCCATCTTGCAATTGAACGTCAGAGTGTAAATTTATGTGATGTTACATGAAATTTATCAGAATAACTAGGGGTTCGTTTTTTGGTACAATTGTAACGTATTCTGATCTACGTTTTCAGCTCTATATTGTTATTTACTGTAATGTAGAACTCACTTTCCGAGTAACGGACCCCTGTCTATTGTAACGGGATAACTTAAAGGTATTCTCTCAACAAATTACAGAATCATATCATTAAGCGTTTGTTTTAATTTGTTACCTCAAAAATTATTTATGTTTAATGTAAATAAAATATATTATGGAAACCAATCAGTTTTTTTTATTTATGAATTTCCTAATTCGAATTTTACTTCATACAACAAGTTGTCCCCAGCACATTGAATATTTAAGTAAGTGTTGGAAATATTGTTTCATTACCCTACTATCACACCAAACTAGTTCTCACTACGTTCTCGAAAACGGGCTTCAACTGTGTACGAACGGACTGGACGTTCTAAGAACCGTTTGGGATCTATTTACAAACTTCATCGAACGTACTCGAACGGGTAGGTCCTCTAGAACTTAGACAATGCTCAAAATGTTCTCGTGGTCGTCACGTTCTACAATTAGAACGAGTGACAACGTACTAACGACGAGCTGGACGTACTACGAACGGAACCGTCGTACTTCAATCCTACTAGGGACGTTTTAACAACGAGTTGAACTGTCTGAGGACGTGTTGAGAACGAGGTAGAACTCATTGCAAACGGGTTTAAACTGATTAAGAACGTATTTAACACTGCTTATGAATGAGTTAGCAAAAATATAGCTATCACACCAAACAAGTTGCCACTGCGTTCTTCAAAACTGGTTCTAAACTATGTGCGAACGGAATGAACGTAGCTGCAACTTTCTAAGGTCTATTTACGAACTTTATGAACGTTCTCAGACGGGAATGTGATTTTAGAATTTTGAATCGATTCAAAATTCGATTGCGACCATACCGTTCTGTTATCAGGTCATGATGACCTTCTAGACTAAGGGACGCGTTCTACGGCGTTGCACACCGACGTGGTGCGACCTGAACGAATTGCGAACGAGATGGACGTATTGAAGACTGTTTAAGAACGAAGAAGCTAATTATGTCAGACATATTTCCCGACCACAGCCAGATTGAGCCCGTTTTACGACGTTTTCGTAGGACTGGCAAGAACGGGTAAGAACGAGTTTGGTGTGATAGGGGGGTTAGCAGCCAAGCATTATATAACTACAGGTAAAATCTTTAGCCGTAGCCACCGTGGACGTTTCCAATAATCATAATGAGTGGATTGAGAAATATTCATTTTTATAGATATTTTTATTTAATGATACAACACATCTTTAATGTCATTCTGTAGAGACTATTATTAATAACACGATTGGTATGATGGTTGAATATATAAATTTTGAACTCTATTGATCGAGCAAAATTCAGAACGCTCAATCCACGCAACACGACACACATAAAAAACAGACTAAAGCCTTTTTATGTTTGATACTTTTAGATTCATTTTTATGTATTTTTATTCTTAGATGGCAAAAATATTGACACATTTTGGGATATATTTTCCTACTAATTTCAGCCCCTCCCATCCAATTTATGCAAATACGATCAAATAAAGGTGTTCTGATTGTAAATCTCTAAAAACTCATTAAAACGAGACTTTGACGAGATTTCAACGCTATGTAGCAAAGCCTCTATTGAAGCCTTGCAATACTTAAATGCCACTGAAATGATCGTTCCATTTAGAAAAAGCTATAAAACCAGCAGATTTGATTCTGATTTTAATTATTCTTTGAATGATTTAGCCGTACGACTCAGATCTTCAATGTTAGTTTATGGTAGCATTATTTTACGGTAATTAGCAGTGCATCGGAGAGGCTAATAGCCAGATGTCGGTATTTAGTTGGCTTAACATACGCTTGAGCCACCTCACAACTCCCACGGGAGATCAAACAGCGCATCATCACAGCTTAATTATAAATTTAGCATTTTGAGAATTTATTCAGTAGAATAATCCAATATTAGCGTGTATCGTGCTGTTAGAATTTAATTTTCGCGATGTCATGCAACGATTTCAACAGATTCTCGAAGAGAGGCACGAGAAGTTACTAAAACGACTCGTGACCACTTGCACTCAACTACTCGCAAGCTCTAATTTATTTAGAATAATAATTGATAATTTACGTTTTTATTTCGCATTTAAATTTTTAAAGTGGGTTGGTTCTGCCAGTACTTTAATGGTATACGGTTTGATAACTTTAATTGAATTTATAGCTCCGCGGTAATCCCTTAATTAGGGGTAAGCTATCCGCTCGCTTTGCGAAACCGTCGATGTGAAAAATTACAATAACTATATTGGGTATTAATTTCGTATAAATTATCAAATTACTTTGATTTCAAAGGACAAGGAATATCTTAATTTTCTAATTGGAGATTAGTGGCCTGGCTCTGAATAGCGCCGGATTATGCCGACTGATGATGTCATACGGCTTCTTTGGTATATACATACATGTACAGTACATGTAGATAATATCCTTATCAAAGACAACTTCATCTATTCCCTTTGAATAAGAGATAATCCTTTGAAAAGCATTAACCAATCAAGGAAAAAATCAATATCCGGGAAGTTACGCTTCGTGCGTGCGCTTATCCCAGATGTACTGCACGAAACGTCAAACCCCCGGGTATTGTAACGCCTTGAACCAATCGGATTTGGTCAATAAGAACTGAGCTACTTAACCAGAATGAAGTCGAAAATATCAAAAGTATAACTGCCATTTATTTCAAAGACCCCCCCCCCCAGATCAGACAGTACCATCATACAGTGGGCTTCTTGCTCACAGGTCATACCTGATTCGAGGGTTACTCGACTCGTCTTGCCGATTGGTACCACCAGCAAATGCTTACTGTATGACCCATATTATGTTAAACCCAGTAATTTAGAATTTATAGAAACTCACATTAGAGAAAGCTGTTCATTTAATATGTTAATTGTTTTAATTGTGTTTGATAGTTATATCTATATCCATTAGTATTGTCCCACGCGCTTTTTATAGCTTATACATTTTACGTTTATGCCTCAAAAACCAACATGATATGAAAAAATGAATTAGTTCTTAACAGCAGACGCGGACCTTTTGCCCTGGACAAGCCTAAGTATACCAGCCTTATCTCTTTACACAATCCAAACTTTTAGAAATTCATTTTATTTTAACTTTATTGATGTTTTACAATTTATTTCTCTATCTGCTTAAGACTTCAAACAATTTCTTAGATCCCTTTAAAATAAGACTATAATTGGTTTAAGGAAGTCTGGAATTACGTTGCTTATAGAAGCTTAACAAAAATCCAAAAGGTAAATAGTGATCGACGGATAGCAATCTAAGTTAAGTTGTAACTGATACGAAATGTGCGCAAATGTGTGGAATATGCCTCAAAGAGGAGAAGAGGAGACATAGTACCGTCATACAAGCCTCTATTTTGACGCTATTTTTGATCGATTGAGAGCAACATATGTTTGATTTTGATCGCAATTTTCACTTTTGAGTTTAAAGGTCAATTTAAAAAAGGATAACTCGGAGATAATTTTTGATATGTTGATAAAGCGTCGCGTCGTCGATTTGCCATGTAAAAATAGCCACTCAAATTTATAAATTACAAAACGTTTCTTAGTCACGTGATTATAGGACCTACTTTGATTTATGGGTACGTCTCTTCTTCTTCTCAAAGACTAAGTATTCCTCTTATCCCGTGTTAATAATGTTTTGTATTAGTTGACAATGTTTTAATACACACGATCTTACGAGGGTCACGCCGAAAAGACTCGGCTAAGATATAAGTAAATAAATTGATACAAATTAAACGTGATACATTTTTAATTACATAGGACTGATTTTTATTTGCCGAGAATCGTGTGTGGTCTCCCGGAAAATGGAAAATAAACCGCCCTAAAATATTTACTTTTTATTTGACTGACCAATAAACTTTCTAATATTCGTTTTAAGCTATATTTTAACAAAGAATGCAAAATGTTATGAAATCAGTGTTGACATTTTAATCTGCTTTTTAAATATTGGAGAAGTAAAGTTTATGGTATATATGGATCATTTTACTGTCAGAATGACATATTCAAATATTATATTATGCGTTTTGGTGTATGGATCTAGGAGAGAAAAAAAATTGATTTTCACCATTTTTACAAATCTGATAATATACACAAAAATGTTTACGTTTTTAGACCCGAAGGCAAAACGTATCCTCGGCTTGTTGTATTTAAAAAAATGAAAACATGTGCCATTCCTCAAGTTAATGTTCAAATGTTGCTGCTCATATATTTTGATACTCATCTGATACGCATCTTTCTGTTTCACCTGAAACATGAAACATTTCAGCGCTGAGTCTAAGAAATAAGATGTCATGGTTTATCATGATGCTGCTCATAATAGTACGTTTTTTTCATTTTTCGGAATAATGTCAACGACTTATATCACTGTGACACAATCACAGGGCTTTTAATCCTTATTGTCACTTACCGGACCTTACGAAAACAATCATCACAATTTCCTAAAAGCTACTTAAATCCCAAATCAATTTACGAGACAACGGGGCGAGAGTTATTATTATTTCGGGATTATGGGGCTAATCGAGTAGCCGTTGATATCCATGATACGAGGGTCTAAGTGGAAGAATAGAATCTAACGATTTCAAATTAATTCCATGATGAATAAAAGTTTGATCGAATTATGGTGATAATTTGGGTTTCCATGTCCGTAGATGGTCCTGAATCAAACGATTCATTCGCTAAGGCGACATAATTGCCTCACTTTCCTTCTATTTCATGTAAATTAAGCATTATTTACGTCCTGCTATTACAATAAATACAAGTAGAAATACTTGGCTAATCTCGGGACACTAATTCTATGTCTTAATTTGTTTAAATTGCCGTTCGGAGATTTACCAATTCCCTACAATGATTCCGATGGCTGTTAGACTTCCATTAAGAATAGATTGATTCTTTTAAACCCAATGTGTTTAACATAACATCCAATTCCTGATGTCGGGTCCATTTAGAACATGATTGACGAGAGCATATTCAACTAAATGTGTTCGGTCTTTTGGGACACTTTCCCCTTTAATGACAGACCGCACAGACTTCATTAACGATTCATTTTTTGTTTCTTGATTTTATAAAGTATCACTCTCCAAAACCATAGAGAGACAACAACCCGGGGCAAGTCATAATCTATCACTAGCTTGTCCCACATAACAGTTCTAGAATTAAA